GGATGCTATTAATGACCTTGACTAGAGGCGTTTTAAAGGAGTGGTGGTCACAAATACGTGCATGTTAAGGGTTTAAGAGGGAATGAGAGAAGAGGAATTGGAAATAGTGAAGAGAGGAGGAGGTTTGCTGCAAAGAGGAGAGAGAAATAGGGCAGTAGCTGGTGAGGATCATGGGATCAGGAGAAATGGAAGAGTAGCAGCCTGCTTGCACGCTAATGGGAGCGACGCACAGGCCATGCTCACTTGCTGGACCACTGCGGTGGCTTTCGCACTGACATCACTCTTGTATTCTACAGTCTTTTCTACAAACATCCCGAGTGTGCTCTCTTAATCATGTCAAATAATGTCATGATCTCTTCCCATCACACTTAAACAATATCCAGAGTCCTTAAGACAACCTGTAAGAGCCTGCCTGGCTAGCTCTCCTTCCTCATTTCCTGCTACTCGCCCCTCACATATGCAGCTCCAGCCTTGCTGGCCTCCTAAGAGCTGCCTCCAACATGCCAAGGCTACTCCCAGCTTGGGCTTCTGCACTTGTTCCTTCTGTCTGGAACTCTCTTCTCCCTGTTTCTGCACGCCTCGCTGCCTCACGTCCCTCAGGTTTCCACCTTAACCTCCTCAGTCCTTGCCTGACCGCCTTATGATCTCCCTGTCACTCTCTTATTTCTTTCCCATAATTATTTTTTCGTCATACTAATCACTATTTGACTTTATATATTTCCTTTTAACGATGTGTTTCTCCCCAAAATTGGGGTTCCATGAAGACAGGGACTTTGTCTCTTTTAATTCACATATTTACCCCTAGAGCAGACAATAATGTTGGGCATACAGAGGGTACACAATAAGTATATTTTAAATAAATGAATAAATGAAAGACTATTACAATGAACACTATAAGCACTTTAATACTTTTAAAGATATTGGCAATTAAGGGTCATGGGTTTGAGTTCTGTTTTGCCTCTGGAGATGAGCAGAGAGGAGGTCTAGTGTGTACCTTTGTTTTCAACGTACATCTGTGCTCTAAAGACATTCTAGGAGAGGGCAAAGGACATTTGGCTCAACCCAATCACCCTGTTTAGGATTTTAAATTTAGTGGACAAAATTCGGCACAGAATAAAATCGGAGATGTCCTCTGTTGTAGAGGAAAGGACATCAGAAGGCCTGGGTTCAAGTAGTCAGTGCTGTGTGATTTTCTGTTATACAAGTCACTGTACTGCTGTGTGTCTGAAAGCCCTAGTTTTAAATTCCATCACCTCATTGCTTTAGGGCCAAGTGAGATATTTGGGACGGTGCCAAACAAATGCACATAAATATTTTCTGTGGATGAAAAGCAAGCCTCTGTGGCTAATCCGTGGGGATGGAGGAGGGAGCAGAGTTGTGCTGAGGCATATGCACCATCTGGCTCTTTAAAACGTGTCCCTTAGGAAGAAAAATGAGATTGTTGTTGAGACTGTACTAAAGAATCATTTCGAAAGTGATATTTTCCAGCTCTAATAAGTCTGTGATCAAACAATCAGTTCTGGGGTAAAGGCCACTGCTTTCCGCCAACTGACCTGGAAGCGGGCACCATATATTTAATGTCAGGACTGTGCAGGCATAAGCAGTTTCTCCCTGTGAAGAATGGAAAATAAAATCGTGTAGCGTAAGAGACCAGACATCCCTGTCTAGCTGGGAAGTGAGAGACGTGCCTGCGAAGGACCTCCAAATGCCAGCCCGTCCCTGGAATGACCAGAGGCGGTATTTTAAGCATGGCATTTGTGCGTTAGATGCAAGAGGAGAGGCGGCGCCTGGAAGGAGGCAGATACCGGGGACATCGGGGAGTAGGGGGAGCTCAGGGCTCACTTTCGTCTCTTTCTCATCTGGTAGCATTTGTGCCTCTACCTGGTCTGCTCTTTCCTCTCCATCACTGCTTTCCTTTTTTTACTCATATATCTGCCCCCTGTTACCTCACCCTGAGCCAGTGCCATTCTGTTTGTGGTGGCTGCAGATAACTGTCAACAACCTATCAGTGTCCCAGTTGCAACGCTGATAGAGGAATCTCGTTGGCCCAGCTTGCCTTAACATTTTGAGCCTGGCCACGCAGGCCTTGGGTCGTGTTCATTCTGGGCTGCCCTTGAGAGAGACGCCCATCTCTGGAGGATCAGCTGTGGCCAGAGTGAGGTCAGGTGGTGCAGGGCATGGCTGGGCTCATTGCCAGACACTGTGCACGTGGGCAGATTTCCTGAGAAGGGGATTGGGTGGCGCAGACATTTTAAATGATACCTGGCTTAGGTGAGGGCATGTCATGTGTGTGGGTTGCCCCGATAGTCTCTTCCAGAATCATTGTTTACTAGGAAAGTACAGGCTGTTACTCAAAGACAAGGGTTCAACAGGTTACCAAATCTCTTACTTGGAACTTCTAGTTTTTTTTCATTTTGTTTATTAATCTAAAATATTTTATGTAATTCTAATTAATTTTCAGGGCTAGCAAACTGATATCTAACACACCAAAAAGGGGCCTAGACACTAAGTCCCATTGAGCTGTAAAAGCTATTTCACTATATACACTTTTTTTTTGAGACAAGTTCTCACTCTATTGTGTGGACTAGAGTGCAATGGTGTCATCATAACTCACTGCAACCTCAAATGCCTGGGCTCAAATGATCCTCCTGCCTCAGCCTCCAGAGTAGCTGGTACTATAGGCACTCACCACTCCCATCCAGCTAATTTTTGTAGTTTTTGTAGAGACAGGGTCTTGCTATGTTGGTCAGGCTTGTCTCAAACTACAGGCCTTAAGTGATCTTCCTACCTCGGCCTCCCAAAGTTCTAGAATTATAGGCATGGGCCATTGTGCCTGGCTTACATACACTTCTATTATGGTAGATTGAGGCTGTTTGGTATATAAACCCTCATCATGGAGTACAATCTAGATCCTTCTACACACTATCCCTTTGATGCCTCTAACTCTGGCTCTGTTTTCCCAGAGGCTCTTCCTGGTTCCTAGTATTGAGAACTGGACATCAGGCCACAACCTCATGTTCCCAGGAACATGTACAAACTCAAGTTAAATGTTCAATGAAACTGAGGAAATGCTACAACCCTTTCACCTGTCAGATTGGACATGGAGGCTTTGTTGGCCAGGTAGAGGAGGTCAGGCTTCCCCACTCCTACAACAGATGCCCCTGACACCATCTTTTTGGAGAAATCAAGTTTTGAGGCGTCATCTGCATAGATATGAGAACTAAAAACGCTCTTTCCCTTGGCACTTAGCTATCAGCCCTGCCTGAGGGCACACCTGGTCCCGGGCTTGGATGATTATGTGGCCTCCCAAGAGATCTTATCAGGAAGGGGGCTTAAAACTACTCCCAGCTCCATTCCAGAATGTGACATAGGGTAAAGCCCTCGTGCCACCTTGTGCCACCATGATAGCCAGAGGGTTGGGTCCTTTGGAACTGTCTCAAAGTGGGGGCTCCTGTGACTTTCTTTGTCATGTCCAAGGACCAGCCCTGTTGCTGTTTGTTAAGAAGAAGAATGCACAACTCTGCTCCCTCCTCCATCCCCACGGATTAGCCACAGACACTTTCTTTTCATCCACAGAAAATATTTATGTGCATTTGTTTGGCACCATCCCAAATATCTCACTTGGCCCTAAAACAATGAGGTGATGGAATTTAAATCAGCCTTTCTAACAAGGCTGATTGTGTAAGGTTGCTATGACTTCCCTTCATTCCTAAATTTCTGGAGTGGTTCAAGGAGACAGTCACACAAATAGGTTTCTGGCAGGCAGACAGTCTGTCCATGCTTGAGAGGGCCATCATAGAAAGACGGAGTTTCATCCCTCACCTTGGCAACCTGACTACCCAGATAGGGTGGGTGTCTTGAAAAGGCTGAAGCTCAAATCTCCAAATTATGTTCTTTCTGATCAGGAAATCTGATGAGGATGACCACATCAATAAGCCCCACAGATACCTGTGGATATTAAGTGACTTGGGTAGGGTCACATACATAAAGTAAGTGGCCCTGGTACTGAAAAGACAGGTTTCCATGATCATTAAGGCTAAATGTGCAGATGTTTGGGAGATTTAAATATGCGAAGATTGGTTCTCTCCCAATTTCTCCGGCCCAGTTGCCTTTCTGACTAACTTTTAAAAGTGAAACTACTGGCCTGGACTCTTAATATCCAGGAGCTCCACCCTCTTTCTGACTCAGCCCACTCTCTGCCTAGAGTGTATGTTAGTGGGGTTGGAAGGGAGATTCAATAGCAGAAATTGTCTCAGAGGGCTGGCATATGCTGGTATTTACTTTTCAGAGACGGGACAATGGTAAAAGAACATGCACGTCTTTGCGTGAAGAATGGCATTGGGAGTTCTGATACTGGACTTCCAGGTACAATTGGACAGTTGGGCACTGCAGAAAGGGCTCAGTCTCAATGAAGTGTAAAAGTATCGAATAACAGGTCCAGGTTGAGCCGGTTAAGTGACAGCAGTCTGAGCATAGTGCCTGAAAAACAGTAAGACATCAGTGAACAGCTATGGAATAAATGAAAGCCAGAATCCAAACCTAAACCCAAATTTTCATTCCAAAGGCAATGTAGCTTCCATTTGGACAGTCTGCCTCCATCTTAAACATCTTTCATGAACTAGCACTGAGAGAAAAGGCTTTCTTAATTTTATATTAATATTTTGTCTCAGAAACAGAAATGTCACGTTTTGATATTGACATATGATCAATGCTAGATGGCAGGAACTTAGTCATTCTGACCATCCTTCTTGTCACAGGTAGACAGCAGGCCACAGTCTGCCCAGGGTTTCTTTTGTGTTTGGCAATGAAATGCTAAGTGAGTCTGAAATCAGTTTCAATGAATACTGGAAGAAAGGAATCCCACTTGAGATAATTGTGTTGCCGTGAAGACGATGAACAGTCCAAGGTGTCGGTCTCCTCTGCTGACAGGAGCCCAGGGATCAGATGTGGATGTGCAACTACTCAGACCTGAAATTTATCAGGTAACCTAATTCAGGACTGCTTCATTTTAAAGCCCGGTTGAAAATGATTACTGCAGAATATTGTCATAATGCAACCTGCCACGGCTTGGAATTTAGTGTAAAGTTAAATAACCTATCTGGGGGAGTGTTCTTAATCAAGTAACCAAAAAGAGCTTGTCTTGAGAGATTTCATTAGCAAGACAGGGCCATAGCATGGGTGACGTAAGCACTGGCTGAGCATTCCATTTAGTATTTAGTAGGTGAAAGTTACTTAGTAAGGGCTCTCTTGGATTTAAGATCTCAGAAATTCCCTCTGTCTTTCTTTTTCTATTTCTGTCTCTATCTCTCTCTTTCTCTCTTCCCATCTCTTCTTCCTTCCACCCCCCCCACCCTTTCTTTCTTGAGCTCAGTGGATTAGTGAAATTTGTAAACCCCTGCAAATTTCCTATCCTCTGTAACTGTGACAGTGGAGCTCTCTCTAACACAACTTTTGATGCAGAAAATGGAGCCATTATGCCAAGTATAAAATAACTTCTCTCCCCTGCATTGCTCCAGCAGAAATCTCTCTTCTCACCATCCTCTCACATGACAGAGTACATTTTGATTCTTTTTCTCATGAGTACAAGCACCTGCTTTGCTACCTACCTGGTGAAGTTTAGTTAGGTACCTTGTCTCCTTCTTGCCTACTGTGTATTTGGGGAATTGAGGTTGGGGAAACTCTGGCAGATGAAATATGCAGGCGTGGGGGCAAAGAGTGCCAGGGTTAAGGATGGAATCTACATTTTTTGTATCCAGGGCCAGAATAAACTTGTTACACTGTGTAGGTATGCAAGAGGCCATTTCAGTTCTCAAGTGGCTTGTTTACGCTTGGGTGTGAGGGACAGGTTCATTTCTGTTCCATTTCTGCCTTGCTCTGTTGTCCTTTCATTATGGAATCATGCAGTCAACATTAGGCAGCACGTGGATAGGGCCAGGAGGAAGTGACATACCACCACAGAAGGTACATATCCATGACAGGACTAGTCACAGAGAGTAAGTTGTCTGGCTAGACTGGAATTAAGAGATTTTTAAATTTCTCAGGTCTCAGCATCCCTCCTTTTCAAAATGGAGAAATTGGTCTAAAATACAAAATGATCTCCAAGATCTTTCCGGCTCCACAATCATGCATTGAGCTTAAAGTATGATTTTAATTATTCTGTTCTCCCAGAACCCATCACCAGCACATCACTTCTGATTTTCTCTTGGGTATATTTGTTATCTTAAAGGCCCCCCTAAGTTTTAACAACTTAAGATGGAACAAGAGTTGTTACATATCACATTTGAATGTTGTTTCTGTCATAAGAAAGCATTCAGTTCTCTCAAAGGAGTAGGATGTAAAAATCATTCCTTAATTAGTTTTGGTAGGTTGTGATTGTGTGTGCATTGGGGGGGGTTGTGAAGAAAGCGAAGAGAAATAGAAGATGAGAAGCATTATTTAAAAAATTCTTAATTTAAGCAGAAAAAAATACTCCTAGGAGGGGACTTATTTCATGAGACTTTTCCATTTTAGGGGCATTTAGTAAATTTAATAAAATGTAGTCTCCAAAATGATGATTCAATAGCCACACTCAGGAGGTCTTCTTTGGCAAATGAACTTGGGGACTGGGTTAAAACTAGGATCCCTTGGTGCCAGGCAGGAGTCCTCCCCACCTGTGGAAGATGCATTTGCAGCCATGTCCCACATTGCTAGGTTACATGGGGAAAAAAATCACATTGGCAAAAACCACTTTCATAGTTTAAACAACAAATCCTCCAGCCCAGAGATCACCCATGGGGCTTAGGATCAGTGAATAGAATGCTGATCTAGAGAGCCTTACAAATCTGGAGAAAATTACCTTCAGCTGCATGATGAATTTCAAGAAATATCATTTTTATTTTTAGAACACAATGACTAATACCATACTTAACCTTGGGATTCTGACATTACATGAGCCATGGTGTGGTCCAGCATTGGCATACATAGTGATGAAGCTGCTTTGTCAGAGATTTATCTGAGGGCTTTTATGCTATTCTGACATTAAGATTAAAAAAAGAAAAAAGCATATAAGCAGGCAAACAAATCAAACTTTGTGTTTTTATCTAAGAGAGATTGAAAGACATTTTATTTTCTAAAGTAAAACATTTGTCTAAATTCCTTTTGTTTAAATGAATTGTCTTCCTCCCACACTTTGGAAGGCTATTCTGGGTGCTGATTATAAGTTTGGAAAAACTTTTTAGTGGCATGGTCTTTACTTGATAAGGCTGACTTCTGCAATCATCTTGTACAGAGATGGAAAATTTTTTAGCACCACATATAGAATCATTATAGTCATTAATCAATAACTCACCACCTTCCTTCTTTCTCAATTCTTGGTAACCTCTATTCTACTTTCTGACTCTATGAATTTGCCTATTCTAGACATTTCATATAAGTGTAATTATATGATATTTGTCCATTTGTGTCTGGTCTATTTCACTTACTGTAAAGTTTTTAAGGATTATCCATATTGTAGCATATATACGATCTTCATTATTTTTATGGATGAATTTTAATATTCCATTATAAGTATAGACCACATTTTGTTTATCCATTCATCTGTGATGGACACTTGGATTATTTGGCTCTTGTGAATATGATGCAGCTACTTAGCTTTTTAAAATTCGTAATAGACATTTGCTGGAGTATTTCTTCCTTGGAAGGTTAATTCTTTAAGGGTCAATTTTTAAATATCTTTGCTGGAGAAAAGAGTTTCCAGATCCACCCTGGAAGCTCAGTATAGTGCAAACCACACTCTTGCTTGGAATATTAAATCAGAAAAATCACTTCGGATCTTCTAGTTCCACCAAGATGAGCTAAGGACAATCCCAGCAATATTACTGCCCTAGGAGCCCAGATGAACCTAGGTAATAAACAATGCTCAGCATCAAATTTACAAGTAAAGGAGAAATGAGATTCTAAGAGAAGAGTGGCTAGATAAGTACCAAAAGAGTAAGCAGCTGGGTGAGCCATGTGGTTTTAGAGCTAAGGATAATGAGTCAGTCAGAGATTTATTCAAGAAATAGAAAAACACTTTCAATTCTTAAAGCATGAAGAGATTTAATATGGGGAACTTGATTGTTTTCAAAATTATCAGAAGAACTGATGGACTGGGTACTAAGAAGGCACTAGAATGACTCTCAAAACCATTCTTCACTGACCCCTAGGGGAGCTACTACCCCTGAAACTGTTGCTAGCTAAGAATTCAAGAATACTCTCTTGCCTCTGTGATCCAGGGTTCTGGAACCTAGAATCAGTGCAGTTGGTTGACTAACCATTTCTTTCCTTTTGCTAAGGAGGTCTACTCAAGGAAAAAAAGAAATGCTTATAGGTAACATTAAAACTATTTAAAAATAAAAATGTAATATTTTGTGCCAAAGCAGGTTTTGGTATTTCCCTCCATCACTGAACGATTTTTGTTTTGGGATAAAACTTTAGAAACTATGTATCTAACATAATTCACAGCATCTAGGTGTAACTAGCATGTTTGCACAAATTTTTTAGATGTTGAGGTTTGGTCGTGCAGTGATGACACAGAGAGATTAGGGGAAGTTGATAAACTGGCATCTAAATTCAGCCACAGAACAGGTATGGCAAAAGCAGCCCCCATAGGGGATCCCTAGGTGCAAGGAAAGCAGGAAGAGAGATCTGTCATTGGGTACAGGATGGATCTAAGGGGACTATAAAGTTTCTGAGTCTCAACAAGAAACAGGAGGAAGATACTTGCAAAATTCCACGCGAATGTTTAACTTTTCTTCTCTATTGCCTATGTATAAAGTAGCAGTCTTGCTGCAACACTTCTGGGAGGGAGGGTTGGTTTACTGTGCATGTGGAGAGGCTACTTCTCTCCTACTTCCTTCCTTGGGGACCTCCACTAGAGTTTCACTGGTTGGTGAGTCTGGCAGAAGGAGAGCAGAGCAGGTATGACTTAGAGCCTCCTCTCTCTTTTCGGAAGCTGGCTTCCCTCAGGAAGTAAAACAATTTTCTCTGGTCCTCCATGCTCATAGGTCTGCAGGAATCTAATAAACAAATAGGAGCTATTAGTGTTCAGCATAGCCCATGATTCTTTGGGACTTTAATCTCTGAGCTTTAATGGGGGAAGATGGTTTAAACCTCATAAGGGAAACCTCATAAACTCAAATAGGTTGTAATCTTTTGCCTTTGGAACATCCTTAGGTTGTCATGTAATCTCATTGCAGAAACACTAACAAGCTAAATCAGACATTATGACTGACTGGACATGAATTAGGACTGGGAACCAAAGAGCGGAGTAACTTATCAATCCTGAGTGTAGGATGACCTTGAAATGTCCTATCCTGTCCTGTACTCTTCTGATCCACTTCAAAGTCTTCTAGCTGGGAGAATCTAAACTGCCCACTAGTGATAAGTAAGAAGAAATTTTCTCCCTCAAGGAAATAGCCACATTCCTGATTAATTCTTGGGTTAGAGAGTATCTGGGGAGAATCTCATTTTTCAAGCTTCATGTCTCTTTATGAAGGAACCTCTACTAATTGATGCCTTCAGGGGCATTTCGTTCCCATGATTCAGCCCCTTCCTCACCCTGAGCCTTTGGAGGTAATTGTTGACGAAAAGTATAAATTATACTCTGCTGGGCTCTTCTCTAACAGGGGAAGCCAATGGTTGTTCAGACTTCCAATGACTGTAGATGGATAAGTCTGTTTAAGTCAGGGTAAAGTATGGCCAGACCCATTTGGCCAGGAGACCTAAGTCTCCAGTCTCCAATATTAGCTTTCATCAATAATCTGTCTGGCTCTTGGGTCTCTCTCTCTTCTGGGATTCTGAATTTGGATGGGAAAGGGAGAGGATGTTAAGGATTAGCTCTCTCAGATCCTTTCTAGGTGAGAATGAGGAGGCTTTTTCTCGCTCCTGTAGCTCGTGCTGTTTCATACACACAGTGTCCCCGCGCCACATCCTGGATGGCAGGCTCTGCCAGCCATGCAGCCGTCTGGCAGCAGCCGTCTGCCCAGCCCAGGCTGGTGATGTCATCTTGGGAGGGCTTTTGCAGTGCATTTGCTTTGCACGTGGATTATTAGTCAGATTTAATTTTTTAGGTGATATAAAAATAAATTCCAGGGTTTCACATCACTCAGTTTCATCATATTGTCTCATGTACAGAAACTCAAGTCAGCAACAAAAATGACTAAAAAGCACTGTATTTTCAATTTTATTTGCACCCCCTAAAGGACAGTATAAGGGGTACAATACAAAATATAGAAGCACTTATTCAAAATCCTCCTGCTTTTCTCCAATTTTTTCTCACGCTTGGTTGCTTCCTAAGCCTTCTGCTCAAAACGCTGCCAGAGTCTCCTCACCAGTATCGGAATTGCTTTTATGTTTTCTCTTCCCTGTTCCCATTTTTTTATTTCTTTATCTATTTACTTCATTTTTTCTTATTCTACCTACTTACAGGGTTCTTCAGAATAAGTGAGACCCCCAGTGTCCATGGAACTTTTTAATATCCAATAATACCTTTTGAGCCATAGAAAGGCTTTGTTTTAAATTAATACCATGTTTCCCTGAAAATAAGACAGAGTCTTATATTTATTTTTCCTCAAGAAGACACCCTAGGGCTTATTTTCAGGGGATGTATTATTTTTTTTTAAGTATGGTACAACAATCTACATTTATTCAAATATAGTTAAGTCATCTTCTTCTGGAACATCATCATAACTCTCCAAACCCCGGATTCCATCCTGAATTTCTTGCGATTCTATTTCTTTTAGAACCATTGGCCCCAATCTCTCATGTAGAACAATAGAGCTCTCATGGGGCAGATGAGAAGGGCTGCTGGTCTTCTTTACCACTCTGCGACTAAATGCATGGGTTGTGCAGATACACTGAGTAGCCACATCCATCACTAGGTCTTAGTTTTAAGGTAGGGCTTATATTGAGCAAATGCTTAGAAATCCTGCTAGGGCTTATTTTATGGATAGATCTTATTTTTGGGGAAACACGATATTAGTTTATCTGAATCAGACATAATTTTAAAACCCAGTTTCCTTTAAGCCTGTAAATTGAACTTCAGTCATTGTTATTCTATTTATGAATTTAGTAATTTTAACATAAAATAAAAACAATTTATTAATATCCATTAACTCAAGTGAACAGACTAAATTCTCTGTGACTGTATTCAATTGGGCTGTTCCATGTTCCATCTTTCATTATTTGCACTTCAAAAATCCATCCTAAATGAGCCCTGTAAATATCTGTTTCCTTGCCAGCTGGCATGATGTTAGACACTGTCAGTAGTGGGCGCTGGATACGGTAGCAGGAAGGGGCTCTTCTTCCTGCATCCAATTTGCTCCTCCCGGAAGGCTCCTGCAGTCAGCAGCACCTGAGAGCCAGAAGCTTCCCCAGCACCCTTGCAGGAGGTTTTGTAGCCGCATGCTTCTGGCAAATATGGCCATAACAGCTGGCAACTTAGAGTGGATTTCTGGAAAGTTCCAGAAATTTTTAAAAAACATTTTTAGAAAAAAAGTTTTTCTAAATTTTTAGAAAAAAAAAGTTGTTTTTTTTTTTTTTTTTTTCCTCCCTAGAGCAGCACAGGGACTTCTCTGCCATTCAGGGAGCCATGATCACACCCTCTCCAATGAGATCTGGATCTCAGCCCTGGGTAGACCTCTTCCTGTGTACTATATCTCAACTCAGGGTAAGACCACTTCTTATATCTGCTATTCCCAGTCTTTATGTTTCTCTTTACTTCTTACTAGATAATTCCTTATTATTCTAATCCCCTATTACAAGTAATGACTCTTTATATTAAACTTTCCCTGTGAAATTGCTGTGTGATTTCTATTTCTTGATTGGATCCTGATAGCCATCCAGGATAAGGTATTTGGATAGTCATTTATACACTATATCATACAGCATGGGCCAAACAAGAAGGCCCATTTGCAGCCTTAATTCATTAAATATGCTTAGACTATCAAACATCCCATATGTACTTAATACATTTACTATTCTTTATAATCACTTAAAATTCCTAAAAGGAAAATCTTAAAGTCCTAAGAAACAAAATATTCCCAAATATTTTGGGAAATATTTCCAAATACTTAAGCAATCCTTATATATCTAATAAGTTAAATTTATAAATATAGGAAATTTCAAGTTCACATGAGTATTCCAATTTGTTTACAAACTCAGCTAAATTTTTATAAATCATTTAACTTAAATCGTAAATCTAAAAATCAATTACTGATTTAAATTTGGCATCAGAAGACAAATTTTCAGATTTTTCAATGTGCCAAGATGATCTTAAACACCATAGGGTTTAAGAAATATGGATTAACTTGAACTTAATGCAACAGTATTTACACCATAGCTTTGATGTATTTACTCTTGCTGTATTTATTTCCAAACTTTCCCAGGTAGAAGAGACACTTATCTAGCTGTGGGACAGTTTTATCTCTGGTTAGCTAAGGCTACCAGATCTGCAGTTCTTACTCATGTTTCACTCACCATCTTAGGGAGGCAGAGGAGATATATGGACTATGTTCATTGAAGTCATTCTTTCTGAAGCATATATGCACATGTTTAGTTATTTTAAAATACTGGTTCCTATGTCAACATGAGATTGAAAGGTCACACCTTTGAGAATTCTCTCATGTGATTTGGGTGATAGAAATCTTATCTTTTCATTCAAATTTCAGTTAACTTCTGTTGGGAAAGGCAGTCCCTTGCATGCTGTTTTTTGACTGCTATTAGGCCGCATAAGAATGGGCCATGGGTGTGGAACACTGTCTATCCAAGAGATAAAGAGTCCCCACAGTTTGAGTTGGATTTGTCACTTTGTGTGGGAACATCTTTTCCTGTTTCAGACTCAATATACCCTTTAATCTTGCTTAAGCATGTGTCATATGGCACCTGGCCAACTCCACTACTATATCTGACTACTCTCCCTGTCCCGGGTAGGGAGGGGACTGATCCTTCTGCTGCAGCACAGCAGAAGACAGGTGTGTGCAGGCAAATTGACCTATGTCTGCTGCCAAGAGGGACCTGCTGGCCATGGGGGACTAGCACTCACTACCAATGCTGCTCTTGCTCTGTCTCTTCTCTATACGAGCAAAGTGTTGATCCGTCCGGTGCTTGACTGTGTTGTGTTTTCCTTGGTGACTCTAATACCAACATACAGTAGGAAGAAGTGCTTGGACTGTACTCCTAATAATAGGCAGCATTTGCTTGAAAACATCCAGTTCTTGAGTAAATTCTGAATTTCTTTAGTTACTTATCATGATTTTTTAAAGTAATTCTAATGCCATTTTGTTAGACTGTGCATTCAAACTCATAATTGTGTCTAACCCTTGGATCTTAACGTCATAAAGTACTGTAAATGACATGTTGAAGCTGACTCAGAAAGCTAGAGTCCCTCCATCTGACAGAAGGGTAGTGGGATTGTGGGCTGGAGTGGAGTTTGTGAGTTTCTTCTGTTTCCATTGCATTCCTGTGGCACAGTAAGCAGCTAGACAGACTGCATCAAGACAGAGGGTTCAAATTTGGTCATTATTGACTTTTATGCTATCTAATCTGTTCACATCATATCCTAAGGGTGAGACTGATTCTGACATTTGCTATTCCTATATTCTTCATAGTTCTCTCTACTTGGTTTCCTAGGTCAGACCAGTCTTGGGGGATAATCAAGAAGCTCTGTGTTTGGCTCAAAGCACTGCAAATATGATACCCAGTTTCAAAACCTGGCCTCGTGCCTTTCCCATAGGCCCAGAGTGGCTTACACACTTTACTTTTTTAAACTGCTGTGTATTGAGCACTCTGTTTTCCAGCTCTGTGGAAGTCCTATTATATAAACTGTCTTGTTTAATTCACGCATAAACGCTGTGAGATATTTTTCACCACAGCTTTATAGATAAGAAACTGAGACACACACATACACACATTTACACACACAGAATATCTGCCTCGTGTCAGAATACCTGCTGGGTGCTAGGGACAGAATGGTGAGCAAAGTAGTCCCTGCTCACCTGGACTTTACAGTCAAGTGCATGGAGGGAAGGCATATAGATATCACATGGATGCTTGCCTAATCACACCCTGTGGTCAGCATAGACCCTGACCCAGGACAGGGATGTAGGGAAAGCTTCCCTGAGGAAATGACATTGCAGCTCAATCCTGGCACTATAGGATGAAGGCTCCCCCCATCCCCAAACTCATATATTGAAACTCAAAACCCCAGTATGTTGATATTTGGAGGTGAAGCCTTTGGGAAGTGCTTAGATCATGAGGGCAAAGCCTTATAAAAGATGGTTAGGGTCATTATATAAGAGGTCCCAGAGAACCCCTATACCCCTTCTGTCCTATGAGGAGACAGCAAAAAAAAAAAAAAAAAAAAAAAAAATCTATGAAGCAGGAATCAAGCCCTACCAGACACTGCATCCTTGATCTTGGACTTTGCAGCCTTCAGAACTGTGAGAAACAAATTTCTGGTATTTGTAAGCCACTCAGTTTATGGTGTTCTGTTACAGCAGCCTGAACGGACTAAGGCACCTAATATGTTTGGTAGCAAAATCCTTTAAAATCTCCATTAATTGAGAACTGTTAAAAGCTTGTGAACTTTAGGTTCCAAACTTCAGTTTTGAATTCAAAACTGACCTGGATTCAAATCATAGCTGTAATGTTTACTATTAATGTTATCTGAACTTCAGTTTTCTCATTTATAAAGTGCTATTTGTAAAGCAATAAAATGATGACGATGATGATGAAAAGGACAGAGACTTCACAGGTAAAGATTAAATGGGGTTATATATGTAAGCATGTAGCACAGTGTATGGCCTCTAGATTTTAGTTCCTTTCTCCATTCCTCTTGCTCTTGTCCAATTTTGTCCTTCATCTTTGTTGGGCAATCTTAATTTTGATTCCCAAGAGCTTGGCTATAGGTCTCAAAGTCTCCTTGCTTTGGGAAATAGCATGAGACCTTCATGAAAATAGAATTTCTACAGGCATGTTCTTATGCCCCAACTCCTCAGGATGGATATGCAGATTAGGTGCCCAACTCACAAATAAAAGACCCATTGCTTAGGAGAATAGTTCCTCACAATGAGCCAAAGATTGAAAAAACAAACACAAAAGCTTATCTTCCACAACATTCTTACTAGTTTTTCTCAGCCCTGATTCCTTGGGGTTCCATTTTTCTTAGGGAAATTCAGAGACCTCCGCTCATTGCCATTGATTTTGCCGCTCTCCCAGCTTGCTGCGCAGGTCGCGGCAGCCTGGCTGAGACTGCCAGCCCAGGATGCAATTACTGCCAATTGCATTGGGATATTTTGTGTGAGAGAATGCCCTGTTACAGAACACACATAGGGAAGCAAAACACTGATTATTTAATTTGCATTGTTTTTCCATGAATCTAAAAAACTCCCTTCTGCAAGGAGCACGGAGGCAAAATGATTAAGACAAAACAGCCAGAATAGAATGAAATAAACCTAGTTGCTTAAAAGAAAAGGGGGAAAACAAACTCATGGAAGCAGAAGCAGTCATAAAAAACAATGTTATTTAAATAATACTATATCTCTCCTGCCTTATCATTCTGATTACATTCAACTAATCTACAAAATTGAAAGGTAGTGAGCAGTATTTCCTTAAAGCACATTAAATAATAGTGTCAAAATGCAAATTTATTCATTAAGTATAGATGAGTATGTTAAATATTCATGAATTGTTGCTCCCAGTATATAATTAATCCCATGGTCTTTGTGTCCAAAACACTTAGAAGATAAAGGGTTTATACCATCACTGTTATAAACGTATACAATTCCCAAAAATACCCCTCAGGGCAAAGGTTAAGCACGTAGCAGATCCCAAACTGGAATCTCATTTTATCAATACTTTATATTGCATTTTAATAGGAACATGGCTATCTGATGACACAAGATTTATATTTCTAACTCCTGCTGTCTAGTAATCTAGGTTAGAAATAAATATTTCAGGCTTGAAGAAGCTCTTGCTTGGCCTGAATATACTAGATCTAAAATTCTCTTTTGTTTTGTTTTTGACCTTGGGCAAATGGAAGCATTTTATAAAAGTCTCCCTCTTAAGCAGAAAAAGTCATGTTTTTACCTCCTTCTTTTCCCATTTTTTTTTGGGAGGAGGGGGTTAAGATTATCCTTTCACTTTAGGTGGTTTTAGACTCTTTTGGAAATACAGCCCATTTTCTTTACACAGCCCATTTTATCAAGAGCCATACGGAGTTTGAAAATCATTTCTCTCCCTAAATGGCTAATATGTCTTTGTAGGTTCTGAAAAGTTAATTCCACCCACTCATAGTGTTCCTTACTTACTTTTTAGGTTACTTGTATCACTGTTAATTTTGATTCACAGTTATTACTGTTGATCCCTGGGGAAACCCACAAGTGCAAAGTAGCAAATGAAAAAACATTTGGATTTTTTTTTTTTTTAAAGCCAGGAACCAGGTTCTTCCAATTCTGTAAAACTATGTGAACATATTCTCTATTTCTGTATGGTAGATGGTATTCTTGCTCCCAATTCTTTACCTCTCCATATGTTATAATTTTATAACCATACCTCTTGTCATGTGATTTTTTGCAATGCATCCCCCAAGAGTGGCTGGAGTCTGTTTCTCTGCTTTGTTGATGTGGGACTTAGCCATATAACTTGTCTTGGCCAACAGAATGTTGGCAG